GTTAAAATTAGAAAAAGGTCACATCCCGCTGTGAAAATATTTTACGGAAGTGGTGCAATACCGGTTGAAATCCACACCTTCGGGCTCCGTCCAATCCAAACTTAATATTTGTAGTGAATCTGTAAGCAGCAACACGAGAGTGTGCTGCATCTAAGCATTTATTGACAACATATTTCTTTGGGCCAAATTAATATTTGCTGACGTTACCCGAAGGTTATTAACCTGCACCTATAATCTCACCACTGAAACACTAGTGACCCACATAAATAAAATAAGATAGTACCAAATGACTCCGAGCTAATCGGGAACAGTGGACGCGGTTGAACTTGTGCGAGGGGAACTGAGGGGACACGCTTCCAAAGAGCGTCTTTGGAGAACAAACGGCCCAAAAGTCCCATTGCGCACGAAAATATAAAATGGATTTTCCGGTACTATACCCTTTAGTTATTAATACATCTATATAGTCTTTACACACCTAAAATACATTACATGTCTTGCAGGGATTACGTGCGACAGAAAAATGGGACCTGCAAGCGCGGCCTCTAAGCTGCATCCAAAAACTTGAGCAGATATGCTTTAGATTACTATGCCAAACTCTAATGGAAATTATATAAATAGGGGCTGTCAAATACGTTTGCGTCAGTGGACGTCTGTAAAGAATAATAAAATAAAATATTTTCAGCTAATTTACCTTAAAAGCGTCAAAGCTTAATTTTATTGATAGTAAAGAAAATTTAACACCAAAGATCTCAACTATGCAAGTTCCTGTGCACATTCTACATGGAAAGCAAATTTAAATGAAGAGAAATGTGTCTGAATTCGCTAATAATGGCGATGGTAATATTCGATAAAGCAATTGTAAAAAAATAGCCATAAAGGTTACCTGTCCGTCTGCGTAAATAATAACAACAATGTTAACGTAAGGTTTCTTAGAAACGTAATAAATGGGTATACGTATGTAACTGTTAGTATATTTAAGAGTTCATCAAATGATTTCGATTCCCGGGCATTATTGAAGATGGCGAATCGTTAAAGTCTGAAACGTTTACATTTTCAAGCTTTTAAAAAATATTTTAACTTTTTGCACTGACTAATATTTTTACCTTTATAAAACAGTTCTATACACAACTACAAATTTCAAGGGACTTACTGCTTCATTATACAACAAGTTTCCACTAGGCACAAAACACGATAATAAGTATATTTTAAAAATATGTGCTTAATATAAAACATCCATTAGAGACAGTCTTACTGTCTATTTCTGTGATACAATTCTTGGATATGTACAGACTGCAAAAGCACATCAATAATTCCCTAAACTTCGTGGCTCTTCGTGGAAAATTGCTTGGGAGAGTCTTGGTCAGATAGTAAATGCGTCTCGCATGTTGGATGAGCTTTCAGAGCATTTTGCGATTGAGGACACATTTACTACAAACGATGAGATGCTATTGGAATGAAGCGTAGGGCTGTCTTTAGAGGTCCTATTTGCCTTTGACTTACAATAATAAACTAATTTTACATTTTTAGTAGCCCGAACTTCCATTACTTCGTTAAATTCCAGCAAGATAAAGTTGCATTTTCCTCAATAGGCATCAGTTGCCTGAGCAACAAAAGTTTATATTGATAGAGTTGATTTTAGTTTGCTCATTAAAATAATTATAAGGTGCTTTAATTTAACATTCTTTGATCACTTTCAGTACATTTAAATATTTATGTATGCTCATTTACCAAGAATTAAGTGTTACACCACCAAATCCGTAAGACAGTTGGACGGCGTGAATATATATTTAGGCGGCCCTAGAAGACAGTTTTGCCTGCGGTGTACATAAGAGGAAACAAACAGTATACAATTTCAAGGTCTAACTGTGTTATCACAACTATCTACCTAGCAATGAAAGTACGTGCACCAGGCTTCACGCCCAGCTGCCGTGGAAGAGGACGAATTGAATCGTTAGAGACATACGGTTACAAGAGTACTCAGCCAAACCGTCGTATTATTTGATATTCAAGTTTATTTGTCAATATAGCTTGGTAGAAAAGTTTGGCGTTCATTTTTTGTGATTTCGGTACTTGACTCACAAAATCGAATTGCTCAGCTGCGTCTAGTTTGTGCCGTAGCACTCGTCATAGCATACTTCAACGTAATAACAGGTAACTGCATAAAAAGCAAGACGGCTGTTCGACCGTCGTTTCCAAAGATGCCCACCGTATACCCAAAATCAGAGTGAGTTCAGGGACAGTAATTTATGCGGACATTATATGAGTGATACTGGACTTGCGTTGTATCCGCCGTGCTGTCTTTTCTCCTCCAACCTGGGCTCGGGTGGAGGGGGTCAGCGCAACGCGAGCCTGCACCTAGGCGTTCCATCTTATGGTTGCGTATCCCTCATAATGCAAGTCATGCCCTGATCCGGTTCCCCTGCTGGTCCAGCACGATTGGCTCGTCTTGTAGTCACCGTCAGACGCACACACACATCCACGTTGCCTCTCGGAAACTCGGGCCCCCAGGGAATAATTGTTTTACTGAACTAAACATTTCGGTCAAAGGGTTGTGGAAAGAGCAAAAAGCTGAAAAGGAAACCATTTTTACAACTCTTATCAGTAGACATAGTCAAGGAAGTGTTTGGATAGGCAGCAATTTGATCTACTGAAAATTTAAAAGTAGTCCTTGATTATTAGTAGCCTCTCTTAGACGACCCTACGATAAACGCTTACTGATAAATTTTTAAAATAAAATGGGAAAGTAAGTATCCGCGCATCGTCTGACATGCCGTTGACAGTTAGTGGTATGACACTTGTTCATTCCATCTGTGTGGCAAAGACGTGAACTTTTGCACTGAGCGCCAGTTGTAGGCTTTCTTGTCCACCTTCTCAGCAAAACAGCTTAATTTGTCCATTTTGATTGGGTAAGCTCCTTGGTCGGAATCAACTTAACCTTTATCTTAATCGAACTGGCTACATTTCGACGATACGAAATAGGCACCTTCACTCCTCTAAACTCTGACTGTAGGATTTTAGTTCATAAAGACCGCAATTTAATACTAGCAGACGTACTCGAGCACATTTTATGATTTTTTGCTCTGATATTCACGTGCCCACAAACAATCCTGAAAACAAATTCTTACAGTCGACAGCTTTGACTCTAGCAAAATGCGTCTGTCCATAGGAGGACTTGGACGAACTGTCTATCATCCTCGAGCGGGGGCTTCGGAAGAGGAATGCCAAGAGGTCAAGTCCTTCAAGTGGTTCTTCTAGAGGAAAGCCTCCCACTCATTCACATTCTGCTACCTGGAAGTTTCCCGCCAAAACAAACAGAAAGGCCATTATCGTGGAGTATACCTCCAGCTCAGACGAACACTCTGATGCTCTGAATTCCCCCTCTTCCTCCTCGTCAGCAGACTACACACGGCACGAACCTGTCAGGAACTATTCCATCAAGTCCGGTTCCATTTCCAAAGGACCTTTTAATTGCACCGAAGAGGATGGTTTCCTGTCAATAGGCAGAGGTTCATTGAACAGCAGGGAGAAGCAAAAATTGAGCCAGTTGTTGTCGAAAAAATTTCGATCACAGTCTGCTGATGCCGTGCTCATGGCAGAACGAGCAAGGCACGCAAAGAAGACAGAGGAGGCGCCATCTCAGACAAAAAGCAGTAAGTCAGTGCGCTGGAAGCCGGGAGACAAACTGGAATCGCATCGGCCCCAAAAGAAGAGCACAGAAAACGTCACGGTGAGCGTTCGTTTTTTTCTGTAATCAAAATGCGGACAGGACTGTCTTTAGAAGCTCTTTTTGCCCTTGACTCATAACAATAGCCTACTTTTACATTTTTAAGTAACCCGAATTTTCCCTTTTCGCTAAAGTACGCCAATATAAGGTTGAATTTCCCTCAATTGGCATTAGTATCCGGAGCAACAGGAGTTTATGTTAATGGATTCTATTCTCTTTCGTACATTGAAAAAAATATAAACTTCTTTAATTTAATATTTTTATCACTTCCGCCACAATTAAATATTCCTTTACACTCATTAACCAAGACGTAAATATTTGAAAAATATTAGACATTAGGCAGTTGGGCGGGGAATATATATTTTGGTGCCCCACAATACAGTTTTGCCAAAATGCGTTTCCCAGAAATACACACTTGAATAAGCTGTCAGGCTACAGGCGAACATGCGAATCTCAGGGAGTAACTGGCAAGAAGTAGGTGTAATCACTAGGACAAGATATTGATTCGCCTGATGTTTCGAAATCCATCGCGGATCCACCATCAGACCCATTTCTGCTATTGTCTCTGGTAGATAGTATTTCCGGCAAAGAAAAGAGCGGCTGGAATGGCCATTTCTGGCTTATTAGCCATCATCAGCCAGTCATACCCAGACCCAAGTGGTGTCCCACCGAGCCTCAAACTTGCGAACATATTGGTCAAAGTCAAACGCACTAACTATTGAATCACGAGCTCGTTGTCTCTTCGGTTCAGGTCAGGGCATACTCGTTGACGGACGTTCACCTGACCGCTAACGGAACTCATCTGCCTCACTCTGCCTTGTGCCTCGACAGAGGCCTTGATAGCTGGTGGGACACCAGTTGGGTCTGGGCATGACTGGCTGACGAAGGCTAATAAGCCAGAAATAACAATGCCCGTCTACCTTGTCTTTGTCGGCAATACTATCTGTATACTACAAGCTGTTACAGCTGTTAGGGCCCCTGTCGTGGCCCAAGACAGAGCGGGACAGATGAGTTCTGTTAGCGGTTAGGTGAAAGTTTATCAAGGATTGTCTATAGTGTTGGAACCACGACGGATTTTGAAGGACCAGGCGAATAAATATCTTGTTCCAGGGATCACATCTGCCTCTTCTCAATCACTTGAATAAGGCCCGAAACCGCCCTTAGGGAGGACTTTGGATAACGAGGGTAGAGTGGCAGACATCCAATCAACAGTAAGCAAGAGGGAGAGGTGTGCAGAGATCAAGGGGTCAAGTCCTAGTCATATCAAGGGGCCGGAGAGGGGGG